ACATTACCAGCCATAACTTCATCATGCTTTCTTCAGGGTCTTGTGGCTCATTGTGTGGCTGACTAGTTGTTTTTCTGTAATGGTTGAGGAAAAGGGCAGTGAGGAATGCTTTTTTACACAACCAAGTAAAGCTCTGTGAATAAGGAAATCACGTGCTATGTTCCTTGTGGTGCTTATTAATGGAAAGCTACTGAAACGGAGCACTGCAGAGAAAACTGGTGTACAGCTTTAAAGGACAGGCTCAAAAAGCATGAGCCAAAAGCACTAATAGAGGCTGCAGCTTTACTGAAAGGCCTTTTCTAGCAGGGAGCCATCCTAACCTGCCTTCGAGAATCTGTTTCAGGCTGGATTAGCGTGGATGGTGAACAGGCATAAGGATGTGATGGTGGTGTTGCAGAGAGAGAATCACACAGAATCACGGAATGCTAGGAGTTGGAAGGGACCTCGAAAGCTCATAGAATCCAGCCCCCCTGCCAGAGCAGGATCACCTACAGTAGGTCACACAGGAACATGTCCACACAGGTTTTGAAAGTCTCCAGAGAAGGAGACTCCACAACTTCCCTGGGCAGCCTGTTCCAATGCTCTGTCACCCTCACAGTAAAGAAATTTTTCCTAATCTTTTTTGTGGAACTTCCTATGCTCCAGCTTGCACCTGTTACCCCTTATCCTCTCGTTGGACAAGGCTGTGAAGAGCTTGGCTCCATCCTCCTGACACTCACCCTTTACATATTTAGAAACATTAATGAAATCACCCCTCAGCCTCCTCTTCTCCAAGCAAAAGAGACCCAGCTCCTTCAGCCTTTCCTCTTAAGGGAGATGTTCCACTCCCTTCATCATCTCTGTGGCTCTGTGCTGAACTCTCTCAAACAGTTCTCTGTCTCTCTTGAACTGAGAGGCCCAGAACTGGACACAATATTCCAGATTTGCCTCTGAGTCCCAGCTGGAGGTAGGGCTGAAGCTGTCCCTCTCCTTTGTACCATCAGGCAGGGGCAATGAGATGAGGGAAACCACATGAAGCTGTATCCCTTCATGTTGCGTTTCCATGGTCTGGGCTGATGTCCAAGGCAGCCGATTGGGTTACAAGGACCTCAGGCTGAACCCTTTCTAACCCACCAAGTGCCCTGGAAGCTGTCAAACTCTAAACAGAGCTTAGACCCTTAAAACCAAAACTAAGTTTGCAAAACCAACACAGACGCTTTTGGGAAAACTTGTTTCAGACGCCCAAACTAGCAACCAGTTGAGCCCACACCACCAAAAGAAGCCCAGTTCATTAGATGAGGGTGGAAAGGCAAAAATAGAGAGATGGAAGAAAAAAACGCGTAGTCATTTGTTTTTCATCCATTTGACTTTATGAGCTGACAGAATGGCCGAAAGTATAGCTCTCAGGATCCCAACTGTAGTGTTATAGTCTTCTCAGTTAGAAGAGATGTCGTTCTGTTAAATAAAACAAACAGCAATACTTGTCATTTAGGGAAAGGAAATCTTAACTCTTGGTTAACATTCTGAGGAGATGCCAAGAAGTAGTGTGTTTTGAATTCAGATGTCCCTTTTGACTTCGTTGCTACTTTTTGTCCCGTAGTTCCTAATTCTGGCGTAGGCGTTGTCTGGGGGAAAAGTTTGCTTATACCATCTATTTTCAGAAAGTGATGATGATTTGGTCTTCTAAGTTTTGATTCAAATACAGTTTAAATAGAGCTTTGGCAGCTCTAATAAAATCTGAGATTGTGGAGAAACTTCTACACCCACTCATAGGTCTCTGTAAGGTAGCGTGAGTTGTTGGGATAGAACCCTTTGTTCACCACCACCAGAGTAAAGTATAGCACTTGTTTACAATTTTTATCGTAAGTACAGGATGTACAAACCTGTTTTGATAAGGATCCTGCTGCCTTTTGTAATGTCGACCAACATCAGTCACAGCCTGAATTTACCAAAGAAAGGGAATTAGAGTTTTGGCAGGGAAAGGAGGTCATTGAAGGACATACCAGTTTTCATCCTGTTTGGAGAAACTCATGAAGGGATTGTAAAGGTTTCAAGTTTAGTTTCTTTGCTGAAGACTGAAATAATAGTGTCAACTGTATTACCATGGTACATAGAGACTGCATGACATATCCAGCAGCTCTGGCCAAGAAGAGGGTACTTATCAAAAGGTAGATGCAATAGAAGGAATGTACGGTACAAAAGCAAATGCTGAAGTGTTCTTACAAGAGGACATAATTTGTACGATGGTCTGCAGTTACATGATACTACTTTTTTTTTTATTCCCAAGAGACTAGGTGTAATTAGTATAGTGAAACAAAGGCCTATTCTTAGCACAGTCTAGAAAAATCTGTAAGCCATGGCCTGTCCTTTTTCTCAGACAATTGACTCTGTCCATGAAGCAAGCACTTTGTGTGGTATCAGCTGCGTAAGGGTTTGGGGTTCTTCCTTACTCTTCCTGTAAGGGACCTGAATCTGGTTGCTGCAAAGGCAGGTGGGTCTTTGGGTCAGTCTGCACTCAGTTTGATGATGGTCTGCTTTCGAGGTGAAACCCTTGTGTCCAGTCTCAGAAGTATCCTGGAAGCCGGAAGACTCCTGGGAGCAGTCTGACATGCATATGCTGGGTACTTCAAGTCCTTGGTGCCCACAGAGCACTTCAGGGTGCAGCAGCAGCGGGGTAATCCATCCCTGAGCTCACATGCTGCTTAGGCAGGAGTATTGGGTCAACGTGAAATCTGCCTCTGGCACCCAGAGGAAGCATGGGAGTACGTCAACGTGTAGGATTTCCTCCATGGCACTTTTACGTGCCCTGTGGATGGAGCTGATGTTTTGCCCTGCTTTTTGGTGACCCTTACCCAACCATGTGCACAAGGGGATCCCTCATCTCCCTCGTGCATGACCTGATCTCGTTTATCCCCCTTCTCTCAAACATTTAAAATAGAAGATGTTGCCTTTGGCCTTGTGAATATTTGGTTATAGCCTGTGCATGGTGTCCCTTTCCACCTTGTCTTCACCACCAATCCATGGCAGAGTCTGTTCACCCGGTGCCTATATAAGCCTTGTCAAGATTTGACAAATGAACTCCTTGTGCCATGTATGTTCATGGTTTTGTCCTTATATATATAATCTTCATATATGGTATGCCTAATGTGAAATCTCATTGCTGGCAATAGCAAGGATAAGGTGTTTCAGAAGATGGAACCAGGAATTGTCACTGGGGAATTACAGATTGTTTTGCCTTCTTGAAGAACTGTATTTCGTAACCTTGTCACTCATAGCTAGTTATGCACTCTAAAAAGTAACCTGGTGTTCACTCTGTTTTTGTTTTTAACCTGAGAACTTTCCATTGTCTTTATAAAGGGATTTTTTTTGCTTTTGTTACTTGTATTGCTGCAGAACAGCAGGATTTAGGGACTGAATGAATGGGGGTCCCTTTGTTTTCAGTTGATTTGTGTATGAATAGAGGAAGAGACTCACTGTTCCGGTGATGTTCTTGCTTTCAAATGGAGGAAAATGTCAGATCCAAAAATCAGTCTAAATCAGCTGAATAGATGGGATCTACTAGAACAGCTCATCTTTTGGCATGCCAGGGATAATATCCACTTAAGCTGTTATTATTGCCATTTTTAATATTAGTGTTTCTGTTTTCCTTTTGCGGTAGGACTCCATTCTGTGATGAAATCTGGCTGTGACTCAAAACCAGGAGAATTCTCCACAAAAAATATTTAGCATAGTTGATTATAAAAGTGCCAAAGTGAATTCATAGCTTGCTTGATTGTTAGCTTATTGAAAGTAGACGAACTAAACTATTTGTAGCTTAAATATTTCCGTCCTAGTATTTTTAGATACTTAGTAAATACTATAATCTAGAGATTGAGAGTAGGTACCATGAAAAGATCGCTTTGTGGATCTGTATATGGAATAATTGTTTTGGGTCAAGGGAGATTTGAAGTAGCTTGGCAGTTGTTTTTGATTGGGGTTGGTTTTCTGTACTGCGGTGCGGTGCCGTGAAGGTACTTATCGAAAGAGCTGAAAGCTGTGCTTTGTCTTGCCACCAGGTTATCGATGGGCATTTCTTGCCTTAGTCTGCCTATTGAATATTACATAGGAAAACATTTTTTAAGAGTGGTTATTAATGTTGTACTTTCAAAAATGAAAGATATATCAAATGAGCTTCTCCAGGGATATGTCTTTGACCTAGCATTATTCAAAAATTCTATTAATCTCTTTGATGATGGAAATAAGGAATAAAATTACAAAAGTAGCAGACGGCACCAGTCTAGAATAAATTTAGACCAACCAGCTTTGAAAAGCGTAAAATTATTTTGCGGAGTCAGGAAAATTATTCTTAATTAGTATGGAAAAGTTGTAACAATGGAGAAGGATATCTAATGTGCTAATTCAGAATAACAAATCACTGTAGCCGTTGCTGCTTTTAACAGCAACCATACAAATGTGGGGCTCTGTCCTGACCTGTAAGTTCACAATCAGTAACCACGTGGAAAGTCAAACATTAAACTGAAGGATGATGTTCAGTGCAAGGCACAACTTTTTGAAAAGGAATGTGGACAGAACTGCCAAGATCCCTACAAGGAGCAAACAAGAGTGACCACTGTATGGTTTTTCTTCATGCCTGCAGGAAATGACACAAGACATTAACATTGTAGCCTAAAGTTAGATGTTGGGCAGAAATGCCCGGTCAGTATAGAAGGTAGTTACCTGTGGAGATATTAAAGATTTTATCATAGATGACTTGCCATACCGCAAAGAAACCATATGTTTTGTACAGTTAATCCTGCCACCTTCTAAGAAATGTGCGTCTTTCTAGCACACATCTGTGCTCTTAGCGCAGGATGTCTGTGCTTTCTAGCATGACGTGTCCTTTAAAATTAAGAGCTGACACAAGAAAATGAAACTAATCTTGTGGCTTTCGTGGCCCAGTTGTGTGACGTGCGTTAGCAATTGGGTGTGCAAATCATCTTTAGCCACATTTGTAATCATTTCTCTTCTTCTTTCCTCAACAGTCTCCAAACGTCCACAACTACCCCGATATGGAAGCTGTACCCTTGTTACTAAACAACATGAAGGCAGACCCAGCAGATGATTCATTATCTACAGACCATTTCCAAACACAGACTGAACCAGTGGACTTGTCAATAAACAAAGCCAGGTCATCCCCCACAGTGGCTTCATCTTCACCGGTTTCCATGACAGCATCAGCCTCCTCCCCTTCTTCTACTTCAACTTCTTCTTCTAGTCGGCCAGCTTCATCACCCACAGTAATAACATCGGTATCCTCAGCGGCATCCGTACCGTCAGTATTAACTCCAGGTCCTCTTGTGGCCTCTGCATCTGGTGTTGGAGGCCAGCAGTTTTTGCACATTATCCATCCAGTACCACCTTCAAGCCCCATGAACTTGCAGTCCAACAAAATGAGTCACGTGCACCGTATCCCCGTGGTGGTACAGTCGGTACCTGTTGTCTATACAGCTGTGAGATCGCCTGGGAATATGAACAACACTATAGTAGTACCCCTGTTGGAGGATGGGAGAAGCCACGTCAAAGGTAAGGTGGAACCAGTTTCGTGCTGTCTGTGGCAGCTCTAAAACTGGTCTTGTATGAGGAAAAATGTGACAACGTTACAAAGCTGTTAGTCTCCAAACTTACTGCGTTGTTTGCTCGAAAGAAATACAGCTTACACTGTAGGAGGAACCTTTACAAGTCTTATCCCAGATATTCTTTAAAATAAGTAAATATTATTATAAATATTGAGGTCAGCAGTGGTGTTAGATACTCAGACAACTCCTGGCAAGTGTCTGTCCTCCCTAGAAGCTGAAGAAGTAGGGCAATAGAATAGGGACAATACTGAAAACATTATAGATGGAAAACTCACCAGGTGACACAGATTTGGCAAGGGCAGGAGTGTCGGAGAGATTGTCTCCATGGAAAGAGAAAGCAATCGTCTGGCTATAGGAGCATGCACAGGAGAGTCTTAAGGACCAAAGAGCAGTGCCAGACACGGAGAGGCAGGGTTTATTAAGCTCAAGGAGTGGCAGTGCAATACTTTGAATTAGATTTCTTCTTCCAGATTAGCAGCAAAAGGGAAGGAAGCCACACAGAGTGTCTGTATTGGGAATGAGTTTTGCAGACACAGGGCCTGAGAGGCACACGGAGATATGAAGGGAGGAGGAAAGCACATGCCAGAAGGAAAGATACGCTCTTGGATAGATGTCCAAAGAACACAGAAAAGGGAGCTGGAGAGCGAGAAAGAAATGAGAACATAACAGTTACTGAGGGAGCAGAAACTTGTTAGAGATGGTGACATGATGGGTGGAGGAAGAAGAGAGAAAGCAGATGTGCCCAAATACTTTGAAAAGCATAGCTTTTATAAAGAAGGCATTAGTGACAGTGATGGCGACGTGAGAAAAGGGGTGAGAGAGACTCATTTCAAGGTTCATCGCCTGTGGGTGAATAAAATATGGCTAATTCTCCCTTGAAATGAGGTATTGCTTGAGGTGGAAAGAGACAGTTCTGACAGATAACTTCAGGGCTTGTAAGACTACAGGTCATTTAGTAATACATGTTATAATATCTCTTGTGTACCTAATTACACATTGAATGGGTCTCTACAACTAAAAGACCCCTTTCCTTCCACTCTCATGCCCATTTTTGATATACTGGTGACTCTGTATTATTGTATAGGACTGCAGTGATGGGTCATTCTGATGTTTAGTAGCATCCTGTTGTCCGTAAGTCTTTACATCTCTTCTTGTTCCCTCTGTACCTGTGTGTGGACTGTGCCACCTCCACAGGCTTGATCACAGGACATAAGCTCACAGCTGATGTGGGTTTTGTTTTAAGCCTCAAACTGAATGTTCAAGAAGTTTTACTGCACTTCATACAGTGATGCAATTTTAGGACTTTGTGCCGCTATATCAAGAAACGATCAAGAATGTTGAAATGAAGAAAGCAGAACTTTTCACTGTGTTGTCTGGGGAAAAAAAAAAAAAGCATATATTTTAATTTTGGAACTTTGAGCTGCACCCAACCTTGAGCTCATCCAGAAATTTTCCCATTTTTCTTTTCAAATGTGCTAGTCAGCTCTGGTAGTAGTCTCCTATATTGGAAGCACCTCCTGATCTTGTAAAACTGGGACTTCGATACCTCAGTTTCATCAACAAAATTCCAGAATTTAATGTGTAGGGATTTCAGCCCATGAGCTTCGAGCCTCCTGAGCTGCCCTGACCATATTGTTGTGCTATTGTTAGCAGAGATCATTAACCAGCCCTGCAGCACCTATTAATGCACAGGTAAAGAAAAAGAAACGATTAAGCAGTCTTTAATTTATATTTTTTTCTTATCAATTGTACCCATTTTACTGTCACTAATTCTTTTGAAATAAATGTTTAGCTTAATTTTAATAACTACAATAGAAGCATGATAGGCAGTAGTCCACTCTAGGTAGTCATCTTTTGCTGAAGTTTGTTTTTCTTTCTTTAAAGTAAAACAATACAAATAATGAAATGCAATGATATTGCATAGATTAACCAATTAAGTGCATTTAATATGTGTGCAAACTATCTTCCCTTCAGTGGTTAGTTCTTGTGCTGAAAACAAGAAAAAGAATGCACACAGTGGCTAATAGGATATTTCTGTCAAATTGAATCGGTTGCTCATCCTCTAGCAGCTGGAGAAATCATCTAGAGTCACAACTTCCAGTTTTTATGTGAACATTGATCACTTCCAGAAACAAAAAAATACAGATGCTGAAACGAAGTCTATCCACAGATAACACTGACAGCATTTGTCTCATAATCTCTGTGTTGTTGCTGCTTTGGTGCTAAATCAGAGACCATACTGATGATCCAGCTGTGCGGTTGTATTTTGCAGCAGTCTGTACCTAAATCCTTTTCACTCAAATGAGACTTAAGTGCTTTGCTGAACAAAGATACTTTCGAGGCTAAAATTAATGGAAATTACATTGGACTTAAGCTCAGACCTCTCCTGGTTTTCTAGATACAGATGCTTAGGGGAAAAATGAAAGAAACAGAATATAGACAGAGGTTTTTTCCTTGTTATTCCCAGTTTTATTCTGCGGAATTTTCCTTCCAGGTTTGACTGGAACCATTTCATTTGCAATTCTATTGCAAAACCTTCTCAGGCCACCACCATCCCTGTAATCCTGCCTTCAGGCATTTTGTTCAGGTGACTTTCTGCTTCACCTGATGCTTACCAGTCCACCTTCCTCTTTCTTGGACAAAACTGTCCTCCCAGCAGCTGCTTTTCTAGGCAGCTCGAACAAATACTTTTTTCTTCTTCTTCTATTTGAATTCTTTCTTCCCTCCAGCACAAGAAATCACTACTTCCTGTTGCCCCCTCTTTTTCTATTTTTCTGGTTTTTTTAGTCCTTCTCATGTTGCTGACTGTTCTCTGAGCTCCTGTTTCAGCACCTCCTTACCTGTTATTTCTAACCCATACTGTCATCTCCTTCTCTGCTGCTGCACATACTTCTCTGTGACATCATTCATTCTGCCGTTCTCTGTTGCACCTTCCTTCAGGAGTCTCAGATCTCCTCTTCTGCTTCCCTGTGTGCTGCTCATTTCTGCTCCTCTGTCTTGCCTCCTCTCTCCCATCTTTTTACCTGCAAAGTTCCCTGTGAAATCAAACCCTTTCTACAGCATCAAAAAACAGATGGGTTTGCAGAGAACTAGGTCTTGTATAAATGAGATGCCAGCAGCATCCCATCAGGTCCTGTGCCACATGCTATGCCCCCAGGGAGGGAAACAGGAGCCCAGAGAATCAGGCTGCAAAAGCACCCTTCTGTCAGACTGATGCTTTTTGGAGGATGAAGTTTACCTGATGTGAATCAAAATCAGGATCAAAGCACTTTTAGGACTTCATTGACAGCACGTAATTAGAAGGTGATCACTGGACAATATGTTCAGTATCGGTAATGTAGCACTTGCCATTTACAAAATCTTACTGAATCCCCACAAATTTCTAACACGGTTCTGTAATCCCACAACGATCATGCATGTGCTCTCACACGCATTTACCTGCAGGCTCCTCAGCCAACCTTGGGCTTTCCCCGCCTGACATCCCCCGATGCGCCTGCTGGGGAGGAAGCATTCCAGGGAGACCCCCAAAGTTGGGAGTCTCTGTGTGCTGCCTCCACACCGCCAGCCCAGCTGTGCAATTGTAGAATCATAGAATCGTAGAACAGTTTCAGCTGGAAGAGACCTTCAAGATCATCATGTGCAACCTTCTCCTAGCCCTATCAACACCACTGAACCATGTCCTTTAACACAACATCCACCCATCTCTTAAACACCTCCAGGGATGGCAACTCAACCACCTCCCTGGGCAGCCTGTTCCAATGCCTGACAACCCTCTCAGTAAAGAAATTCTTCCTAATATCCAACCTGAACCTCCCCTGGCACAACTTCAGGCCATTTCCCCTCGTACTGTTATTCGCCACTAGGGAGAACAGACCAACCCCCGCCTCTCTACAACCTCCCTTCAGGTAGTTGTAGAGAGCAATCAGGTCTCCCCTCAATCTCCTCTTGTCCAGGCTAAACAGCCCCAGATCCTCAGCTATTCCTCGTAGGACTTATGTTCCAAATCCATTATCAGCTTGGCAGCCACCTCTGTACCCTCTCCAGCACTTCAGTGTCCCTCTTGCAATGAGGAGCTCAAGTTGCCTCCTACAGCCTAATCCTTGTGTTATTTCATATTCATGCAGTGTAGTAATGAGTTAGGGCTGTCGGACATGGAGGGGACAGGAGCCACCTGCAGAGGGCCACCTTTGGGCACTGCAGGTCACTCCGTGCCACCCCCTACAACATGGCAAAAAGTCCTTCAGTGGTCACCACTGTTGTCTTGTCACCCAGAGCCTTAAAAAAAGCTTAGGAGAGATTTTTTCTTTTTTCTATGTGGAGTCTGTGGTGACCACTAAACGTTATTTTACATTGAAGTGTTCCAGAGCATTAAAGACCTGTGAAAAACTCTTTTTCTTGCCTTTTTTTCATCTCTGTTCAGCAATGGCGAGGATTAGTTGAAGGTGTAATTGGAGACACAGCAGGTAGCAGCACCTATAGATAAGGTTGCCTAATGTTTTCTCTTCAAACTCTGTCTTCAATTGTTCGGTCTGTCTATACATTAACCATTTAGCCTAACATTTTCCTTGCTGCGTGTCTGCCTCAGGCTATTTTTTTCTTTTTTTGTCTCTTTATGAGGAAAATTTCAAGAAAAAAATATTTCACTCCTCCTGAGACTGAGCATAGAGAAAAGAATTTGGCATTTTCCATGTTGAAAAATTTATTCCAGCTTTTTTTTTTTTTTGGTGAAGATTTCTAGAGCCTTTGTGGTTTTGTGCCATGAACCTCAAATTTGGTTTGGACCATGGTGCATTTTTTTTTTTTCTTTATAAGCACTGATGGAAACTAAGCCAAGTTTGGAGATCTGAAAAAAAATATGACTCCCCTTAAAGGATAAAGAGAAGAAAAATTAATTGCTAGGAAAAGGCAAGGAGAAGGTTGGAAGGGACTGAACAGTGGGAGAGGGGCAGGATGGAAGGAAGCAGGGTAGAAAAACAGAGGTGGTGAGA